GGGAAAGTAGTTGAGAACTTTGTTGATAATTTATCATCCTTAAGAAAAAAAATACAAAACACCACAAGCAATCTACTAGAAGCTCATTCTAAACCTTGAAGTTAAACAAAAACCATCCACAGCACTGCAGACCTTTCAGAGACTCCTAAGACCACAGCACAAACGTTGTCAGGCAGCAGTTAACAGGTTCTCAGCAAGCTGCTGCACCTACCGCTGGCTCCTTTGCTTGTGGGCTGGAATTCTGCCCAACCTGAAGGGAACTCGGTGACACTGGCAATGTGTGCCCGGATCATACAAGGAAGGAACAAAACTTGTTTGGCTACAGCTATCAGGGTTTGTTTTTTGTTGTTTTTTTTTTTACAGGGGACTGTGTTGACATTTAATTCAACTCCACAGTAATTCCACAATACACCTGTCTCCGCGCTGTAAAATTACAGAAGAGGCTGTAGTTGTAATTTGAGTATGGCCCTACAGGTGCCTATTCTATTTATTTGTATGAGAAAGTCTGGAGTGTTTCTACTTAGCAAAGAGGTTCCTCCAGCATCTGCAGCCACACAGGTTAGCAAAAAATCCCCACACAAACCCAACCAACCAAAAAAAAAATGACCCGCACCATGCTCCTTTAGTCATTCCCTTGTGATTCAGGCGTGTCCTTCCATTTCCAGCTTTCACAAAAACAAGCTTTTAGACAGTCTCAATCAAACCAACAGAATTCTCGACCTTGGTGGACTTAGAGACGTTTTTACTCTTCTGGACAGAGAACAGATGAAAATAAAAGGCTTTAACTCACTCTGGGCATGCACGGTGCAGTGGTTATTTCTGTACAGGACGCTGTATTCCCAAAGTTGTATCTCCCTCTACCGGTGACTTTTTGTGCGCTTACCACACGTGACAAGCCCAAAAATCAATTTGGTCAGTGTCATGGAATGGTTACTGTTGGCTGCTTGAACAGGAAGAACATGGCAACAGAAGATAAGCTTAAAAATAAATTTATAAGGTTGGAAGTGGAAATTTTTAGGTTTCATTTTAGGTAATAAAAAAAGTTTTCAGCTTTTTTTTTTTTGTTCAAGGGGATGGGAGAAAGGGAGGGCAGGATGAAGGAAACAAACCCACAGATATTGAAATAGCTAGTACATTAAACAGGGATTGCAAGGTTGCTTTCCTCTTTTTATTCTCCTTTACATGATAGCTTTTTAATATATCTTCGAAGGCAATAGCCTTCTCAGAGCTGGGTGCAAAACATGTCTACTCTGAGCCACTCCAGGTCATCACTCTTCAGTTTTTTTCCTACTTCATCATAGTGTAAAAGTCCCCCTCCTGTTTCTCACTGTCTGTCCACCAGAAACCATTCACGATTAATCATCGCATGTTCAAAGCTGTCATTAAGGGTACGCATAGATGGGAGCAGACAACTGCAGAAGCTTATGAGCTCCAATCATAATCACAGCCTGGTTTGGGTGGGAAGGGACCTCACAGCCCATGTAGTTCCCACGCC